TAGCTTAGAATTGACTTCTATTGCTATTTGTCTCCTCTAAATGGAAAATAAAATAAATAGTTGCTAAGAGTCACCACTATTATCTTACTGCAGACTCATGAATTAAACCACATACTGGAATTTTCAGATGAACACATCAAAATATATATGACGGACGACTAAGCATCTGATAAATTGTCCTATACAATAAAATGAATTAATGGCTATACTTTCATCCCTATAATATCATTTAGCAGTGTAAATGAAGCTATGGAATGACAATTATTTTTGCATTAGCATTTGAATGAAATAAAAATGAAAGGACCTATGAATAAATGTAGTGGAAACACACATCACCAAGGCTTATTCACACGATCTATTTGTCTCTACTTCTCGTAGAGAATCAGCTGAGGGAATCAGAATATGCAGAATACAAAAACATAAAATTTCAGTCTGTCTCCAAACTATCTTACTTCTATTGCAATTCACTAAAGATTTTATAGGGCAGTATTGCATATATTGAAGAAATAGAATAGTTTCATTCTAGAGTATAATATTTTTTCTTCAATTAATTTTACAATGTAACTTACTAAAAGACCATAATTTAAAGATCTAAAGGTAAACACACAGTCTTCAGCATTAATATTATTTAGATCAGTGATTTTTTCCTTTAATAAAAAAACACATTTCACACGCAAAATGGAACATTGTCTCTTTATGAGATCATTTGTTCCTCCTCTATATGTTCCTCCTGAAACCACATTTATTCTACTGCTTTTCAAATGCATCAACATTTTGTCAAAAACAGTTTCTATTTAATATTTTTATCTAATTGCATTTTGAACCTTTTTCTTCATTTCATAAATAACAGGAATTTAATCTCTTTTAATCCTCCTTTTCACAAACAATCTTCTCCAGAAGTTCTTTCAATAGAAAAGCAAAATTCCTTGACTAACAAAAAGCAGACAGGCACAGTATGCTTGGACTATTTGAATAAAAAAAAATCATAAAAATTCAAAACCATTACTCCAAAACCTGTATTTTAGGAACTGAGGAAACAGCTCTATAACAGTAACCAAAATGATTGAATTCTAAATGCATAACCATTGAATTTTAAATGCAGCAATAAGGAACCTATACATTTTGTGTAGGTTCAGAGAGAAGAAGGGCCACCAACCTAATGCTCTTCATTGCTTTTCTTAAGCTCTCTAGGGCAGCTTTAGTTTGACTACGTGAGGCTACTGCATAGTTTTTCCTAGTTTCAAAAATACAGCAAGACCTATAATATTGTGCCACCAAAAGAAAGAAAGAAAATGATGTAACTTCTGTGCTATCGGTTTGCTTTGTAAAAATCTGTGAACACTGCTACCAACTCAGGTGACAAAGCTCAGTTTTTGTCTTTTAATTCAGTTGCTTTAAACTGCCAATACTGTAAGAGAAAGGAGAAACCACTCAGGACATCAGAAATATAGATCTTTTTAGGTGTAGCTTTTCATGTAGTTACAAAGGTGAAGTTTAGCACTAATGCAATCTATGCGGGAGGAAGGAAGCTCTCCTAGATTGGTACCAGTCTGTGTTTACTTTGAAACATCCTCCCCACTGTTCACATTGCAGCCCTCTGATTACTCCCTTTTGCTAGCCTGCTTTTTCAGCTGGCTACATTTTCTTCGCAAACAAATGTAACTACAAGCATACTCAGGAAGAAAAGCAAACACTTATTTCATTTTCTTTTATCTACTTACATTTTATTAGAGGTTAATAAGAAATCATCTCATATTCATACTTAAATTATTTCAATTACTCATGAACAAACTTCAATGAGTCTTGAATTTTTAAATTTATTGCAAGCAGATTCATGTCTCCTGCTTATGTATTCTACATAAAGATCCAAAATGTGACTGAATATAAACAAGTTATATTTGTTTATCTACAGAAATGAAAGGTAAAAATAGCACTGAAAAGAAACTTTACAGTAATGTATTCACACACTGACTTCACTCAAATAAATGAAGTGGCATAGGATAATCTAAACATGAGATTTGAAGTCTGATTTACTTTCAAATAAATGCACCTATATTTGTTTAATTAAAAATAAATGTCAGTATTTGGTGCTGATGACTACAGACATCTTTAATGTTTAATGCACAGATAACTACCCCCAGCCCCCAAAAAGCACTTCTGCAGATTCTACTTTACATTAGATCATGTAAGGACATTTAAAATGCAATGTATACATACCACAGAATTGGTGTTAGAGACAACGCATATTAAAATTTTGCGTATTTTCATATGGTAAAAAAAATTAAAGCTGTATAAACTGATTTTTAGATTATTCTGCAAAGTAGAATCACATACGTTTTCACTTCCATAATACTTTCGCAAATGTCCATTAAAGCTTTTTGAACAGAGACAGTAGCATGAGCGCAATGATCCCACTGGCTTCCAAACGAAAAGCAGTGCAGTTGCTTAATTAAGCTCTTTTTTTCCTTTTACATTTGCAAGCCAGTTGGATCAAGACAGACAGGCTAATGCAAGCAAGAAAGTAAACTGTAAGCTTTTATATTAAGTGGCTGAACAAACAATATTAATTATTGTACATCATGAAACAAAAAAGATCCAAGTCTTTTGCCACAAACCACTGCAGCAATACATGAGCTTCAGTGGCTGAAAAGCTTGAAATACTTTCTAAGTCTTCACATACATTTGGTTAGTGCTTACCAGTTTCAAGACATTTATAGAAGCAGTTATGGAGACATTATGCTGTTAAAGCTGCAACAATTTAAACAAGGCAAGTTAGGAAGATATATAATTTTTGTAATTTCCCCCTTTAATTCTTTCTTTCTTATATATAAAAGCCTGCCTCCTTTCAGTGTCTCATCCCTAATAAAACTTTCTAATGCATTTTGATCTAACTTTTACTTTTTCATCTTCATATTGGCTAGTCCATGTATAATAAAACTCCAGGTTAACACCTTCTGCAGTGGACTAGGTTTGCATGGCAACAGTAGCAAGGGCTGAAGCAAAGATGCATCAAGTGAAACTGAGTTGTTATTATCTGCCTTTTCCTTTAAATGGTCTATTTTAACAAACAAGCAGTATCAGGTTTTAAAGGTAAAAGTATTGCTAAATCAAAGCAGAAACTTCCAGTTAAATTCTACCATCTTTCCCCTTCCACGGAATGACACATATAACTAAAATTCCCTAAGCACTTTTTTTGGTGTTTCAGCCTGCATAATAGTTTCAATAATTTCTAAGCGTTGGGTCACAAGAAGTTTGCAATGAACTGCTTTGTTAGTAGGCAAAACAGGAATGCAGCATTTACAAAAATATCAAACAAGATTTTCCTTTTTTTAAGGCTACAAGATGGAAATCAGCATAAAGTAAAAAAGCAGGAGGCTTTATAGACTAAAAAGCAGTATAGCACAGAAAGTTCATCACTCTGAGCACTGCGATCACAAGCAACAAGAAAACACGGGTAGCTTCGGCGAGACTGACAGAGCAACAGACCTATATTTCTAACTTAACATTCATCAAAATTTTAACATTCAGCCACAATTCCACCGTAAGCTGGGTTTAGGTGGCCAAAACTCAAAAGTATAAAAAAAGCCTTCAAAACTTAAAAAAAATAGAAATGGTGTGTTAACAAATGTATGCGTAAAACAGATTTATAAATAGCTACAGTATGAAAAATATTTCAGTGCAAAGGCAATTTTAAGATTTCTAAAAAATACATTACAAATAATTTGTTAACTACACACAAGAAATTTGTCACTGCTACTGGTATAAAATTTATACCCATATTAATTTTTTTTTAAAAATATATACACCAGTGTTTTATGTAGGGGACGGTGCTAACTGACCAACATTCAAGTATGCAATGGCAAATACATATATACACACCCACACCCATATACATATTTATGTATTTCAGATTGTTACTGTTATGATGACATTCTTTGAAACTGAAAAGTGCTACATATTAAATGGTAAAAAGTACCTTCATACCATTTTAAAGGACAACGAATGCATTTGTGGTGCTCACTGTTAGACATTTTAAAATTCTCTTCCTTTATCTTTGGTATAATAAAAATTTCACAACACACTTTACAGTATGTCTATTTGTCCCAGGGCATATCGAAAACACTTCACTGTTTTGTAATTGGAAATTCACTAGGAATATTGCAAGGAACATTTCCCAGTAAGTTGATTTTTCTTTTATTAAAAATTGAATTAAATAAATTATTCTTTTTTCAACTTTTTTTTTTTAATCACAAAGGGAAATTATTTTCCCTACCATCCTACTCCACTAAAAGGAAAAAAAAAACAACTAACAATGTCTTGGTCAAATCTTCCAATAAAGACTATAGCTCTGATTCCAGATATTTTGTTTTCATATAGAAATCAGTTCTTAGCTATTGGTCTCCCAGAGTTATGTAATGATTATGGTCAATTATACCAGTTATAAACACCAGGTTTACTGAAATTGACTGGAATCAAATTCATCCTTCAGACATTTTTGCACCCCAAAATAAAACACTGGACTAAAGAAACAGGACAAGGACAGAGCTAATAGTAAAATTAGTGCAAGGTAACGTAAGTGCAGCAGAGAGAACACGTTCAAGTTGGCTGTCATTGTCATCCTTAAAATAACCCAAACGATCCTTGTCAAGGCAATTTCTGTCAGGATTACGGGTTGGTAGTGAACAGCCATTTGCCACCTGATGGTTCCGTTCCCAAGGTCACAGTTGTGCGCTCCTAGCTTCGCAAGCAATAACCTCTGCTGAGCCAATTAGCCCGTGGTTAACCCCACAATTAAAAACAAAATAATTAAAAGGATGAGATCCAGACAGTAGAAGACTCATATCTGGGTGGGGGAAATA